TGAAGCTGCTTCTAATATACAGAGATTGTGCTCATTTTCTAAGCTTCTGCTCCAGAGGGGGGGGAAAAAAAAAAACCATTCCTAGAACTAGAAAAACTAGGTTTATTCAAGTACTATTACCTTGAATGTCTAGTTATAAATCACTGCTAAACTTCATTGGCTGTAATCCTCATCTGTGTTTACTGTCAACAGCATTGATGGTGACTTATTTTTATTTTCTTCCTGTTTTAGAGATCCTTTCAGAGACAAGAATAGATGTAAGTGCGTTCATGAGAGGTACAATTCTGTCTCTGTAGAATTCAGTGTCATTATTGAAAAGAAAACATTTTATACTACATGCATCACCTGTTATTTTCTATGTGTTAAATTACATTTAATATGTTTACTATTCTTAATATTCTGTTAACACTTGTTTCAAATAACCATTGTAAATATTTTATTTTTCTCTGAATATCCCCATTTTTGAAAGACAAATAGCATTTTTCTGTGCCTTTGAAACTTCCACACATAATTCAGGTTTACTTGACTACAGTAGTAGCTTACATGTCAGCAGCAATATTTATTCAATAACAAGGGAACTGCTCTGCAGTCCTTTCTTCTGTATGTATGTATCTGTATAGTTCTTCTAAAATATATCATCAGTTCTTGGAGCACTACCGTGAACAAAAGTCCCTGCTTTTATATACTATTTAGTACCCTGATTGCTATGCTAGATTGCTATGCTTATTGCTTGCTTGCCAGATTCATCTTCTCATGCAAGTAGGACCTAAAGGCTCCTAATAAAAGATCCACATGGTAGCTAAGAGATTGAGTGCTCTTGCAGCATTTTTATTAGCATTTAAAATATGTTTTATGGAGATGAGGATTTGCAGAGAGAGGGGAGAATCAAATCTGGGATTTTCATGGTCCTGGGAATTGTTCCAACCACTACTGTGCATTAACATGAAGCAACACCTTCACTCTTTTCCCACTTTATTTTTTCCTGCACTGGACTCCAAGCTGAGAATTTCACATGGGAATGGGCATATTTTGACAACTCAGAGTCAGGCACTTAAATATCCCTCATTTCTAGATCTTACAGCAGGTTCGTCTTTCTCTTGAGTATGTTTTACTGACAATCTTCAGTAACCCCCAACCTGGTCCAATTCCATTTAGAAGAACCTAACCCTGCCCAAAGAACCTAACTCTACCCAAACTTTTAAGTTAAGAGACTGAATACTACTTCTATCCCAGGATGTATATTTATTCCCCTCCGTATGAGGCTCCATGCAAGCCATACAGGATAAAGTATATGCAGAGGGCAATCAAATGCAAACAATAGGAAAACATAGTAAAAGGCAGTAAAGAACCACACCTTGAAACAGAACGAACAGAGTTCTTGCATTAAAGGTAAGGGAAAGTGGATCTTGCAACAGCAAATTATAACTCATAAACTGCTGTTGCAGCAGCTATACTGAAGGTAATAATTATCTAAAATGCAACCAGGAAGAAAGATAATATGAATACTCTATACTCACCCTGTTAATTCTGGGCTTTATTTTTCTTTATTTTGCTCTTGTGTTTTTTTTCTTTGTTTTCTTTTTGTTTTGTTTTTACTGGTTTGCCAGTGCCAGTAAATCTGAGATAGCATCTTTTATCAGTTGTATGCTTATACAGTAGATATCCTGATAAATTGCAAAAGCAACAGAGAATCCTGAGCATAGGTGCTATGAGGGACACTAAGGACAGCCAGACCTAACACACAGGCATAAACAGAAGATGTGAAACACAGATGCAAGGAAAAACAAGATATTTGCTGAAGAGCTGCTGTGTTTGTTTGTTTGTTTGTTTGTTTGTTTAGGGGGGTAGCTCTTCCTCAGCACCTTCAAGTTCTTCAATGAAAGAAGAGCTTCATTGAAGCTCTTCAATGAAAACACAATTAAGCCAATTAGATAAATCTCGACTGAAACTAGTGACAGGTGAAAACTATGAAAGGTGAAATTAAAGCTTAAAGTCTTTAATTATGTACATAGCTGATGGGTAAATCCTTTCCCATAGGCAGACTAACTAGAAATGGAACAGTGAAGAGGATCAAGGGAACCTACAAAGGCCTTTCCTCTCTCTTTGAAACCTACAGTGTGGTGCATATTCGCCCAGCCATGTGATATGGCCCTTTTTGCCTCATTAGCACGCCCAAAGCTTAAGGGGATGGAAGTGCCAGCAGATCTGCAGGGAAAAAAATAAACTGATGGACAACATCAGTTCTGCAAATGGTTTTTTGTTCATGAGTCATAATCTTGCAGGACAGCAGGATCAAAGTCTCCCCGTCATCACTGTTCTTGGGTTTGTGGCCACAAATGTTCTTTGTGATCTCTCTATTACCTTGAATGTCTAGTTATAAATCACTGCTAAACTTCATTGGCTGTAATCCTCATCTGTGTTTACTGTCAACAGCATTGATGGTGACTTATTTTTATTTTCTTCCTGTTTTAGAGATCCTTTCAGAGACAAGAATAGATGTAAGTGCGTTCATGAGAGGTACAATTCTGTCTCTGTAGAATTCAGTGTCATTATTGAAAAGAAAACATTTTATACTACATACATCACCTGTTATTTTCTATGTGTTAAATTACATTTAATATGTTTACTATTCTTAATATTCTGTTAACACTTGTTTCAAATAACCATTGTAAATATTTTATTTTTCTCTGAATATCCCCATTTTTGAAAGACAAATAGCATTTTTCTGTGCCTTTGAAACTTCCACACATAATTCAGGTTTACTTGACTACAGTAGTAGCTTACATGTCAGCAGCAATATTTATTCAATAACAAGGGAACTGCTCTGCAGTCCTTTCTTCTGTATGTATGTATCTGTATAGTTCTTCTAAAATATATCATCAGTTCTTGGAGCACTACCCTGAACAAAAGTCCCTGCTTTTATATACTATTTAGTACCCTGATTGCTATGCTAGATTGCTATGCTTATTGCTTGCTTGCCAGATTCATCTTCTCATGCAAGTAGGACCTAAAGGCTCCTAATAAAAGATCCACATGGTAGCTAAGAGATTGAGTGCTCTTGCAGCATTTTTATTAGCATTTAAAATATGTTTTATGGAGATGAGGATTTGCAGAGAGAGGGGAGAATCAAATCTGGGATTTTCATGGTCCTGGGAATTGTTCCAACCACTACTGTGCATTAACATGAAGCAACACCTTCACTCTTTTCCCACTTTATTTTTTCCTGCACTGGACTCCAAGCTGAGAATTTCACATGGGAATGGGCATATTTTGACAACTCAGAGTCAGGCACTTAAATATCCCTCATTTCTAGATCTTACAGCAGGTTCGTCTTTCTCTTGAGTATGTTTTACTGACAATCTTCAGTAACCCCCAACCTGGTCCAATTCCATTTAGAAGAACCTAACCCTGCCCAAAGAACCTAACTCTACCCAAACTTTTAAGTTAAGAGACTGAATACTACTTCTATCCCAGGATGTATATTTATTCCCCTCCGTATGAGGCTCCATGCAAGCCATACAGGATAAAGTATATGCAGAGGGCAATCAAATGCAAACAATAGGAAAACATAGTAAAAGGCAGTAAAGAACCACACCTTGAAACAGAACGAACAGAGTTCTTGCATTAAAGGTAAGGGAAAGTGGATCTTGCAACAGCAAATTATAACTCATAAACTGCTGTTGCAGCAGCTATACTGAAGGTAATAATTACCTAAAATGCAACCAGGAAGAAAGATAATATGAATACTCTATACTCACCCTGTTAATTCTGGGCTTTATTTTTCTTTATTTTGCTCTTGTGTTTTTTTTCTTTGTTTTCTTTTTGTTTTGTTTTTACTGGTTTGCCAGTGCCAGTAAATCTGAGATAGCATCTTTTATCAGTTGTATGCTTATACAGTAGATATCCTGATAAATTGCAAAAGCAACAGAGAATCCTGAGCATAGGTGCTATGAGGGACACTAAGGACAGCCAGACCTAACACACAGGCATAAACAGAAGATGTGAAACACAGATGCAAGGAAAAACAAGATATTTGCTGAAGAGCTGCTGTGTTTGTTTGTTTGTTTGTTTGTTTGTTTAGGGGGGTAGCTCTTCCTCAGCACCTTCAAGTTCTTCAATGAAAGAAGAGCTTCATTGAAGCTCTTCAATGAAAACACAATTAAGCCAATTAGATAAATCTCGACTGAAACTAGTGACAGGTGAAAACTATGAAAGGTGAAATTAAAGCTTAAAGTCTTTAATTATGTACATAGCTGATGGGTAAATCCTTTCCCATAGGCAGACTAACTAGAAATGGAACAGTGAAGAGGATCAAGGGAACCTACAAAGGCCTTTCCTCTCTCTTTGAAACCTACAGTGTGGTGCATATTCGCCCAGCCATGTGATATGGCCCTTTTTGCCTCATTAGCACGCCCAAAGCTTAAGGGGATGGAAGTGCCAGCAGATCTGCAGGGAAAAAAATAAACTGATGGACAACATCAGTTCTGCAAATGGTTTTTTGTTCATGAGTCATAATCTTGCAGGACAGCAGGATCAAAGTCTCCCCGTCATCACTGTTCTTGGGTTTGTGGCCACAAATGTTCTTTGTGATCTCTTCACATGCTAAGGATTCCTAAAGAGCAGGATCATTAAGCAAGATTTGATTTAGTTAAATTAAACTAAAGGCTTGGGCTGTGCTCATAGTACATCTTTTTGTATCTTTATATTAAGATGGTTTTGCAAATAATCTTTCGTGGTTTAAAATCACAGACAAATTCTCTGCCACCTACCATCCACTGTCAACTGAAATTGCCCAAGTGCTTCCAAGAATGAGATCTTTAAAGGGTATTGCCAAGCTGCTGAGTCACCTGCCACCTCCTACTCTAAGCTTTATAGTCTAATACAACAGGAAAATGTTTGCCAAGGTTTTGGATAATGCTACCAGCTGCAATGAGTAGAGAGACAACAAGATGGATGGATCATGGAGAAATTCAGACAAATATGAGCAAATATTTACTGCGATGACTACAGCTGTTAAATCGTGGGATTTAAGTTGCATTGAAAGGCTGGCATCTTTAGCACCACCTCCCTTTATGGAGCATTACTACAGTAATGATTCAGAGAAGGACGACATCTATCATATATCGTTTACTGTATGAAATGGTCAGCCTTCAAACACAGTAATGAGTTCTTAATTCAGTTTTGCTCATTTCTTCCTTCTTTATTTGAACAGCAATATTCCAAAGTGCTTTTTGTGGACAGACTCATATGGCAAACTGGGTATCCCATTGATTTGATTGTCTGCTCAGAATTTCCGTGACTGATCACATTTCTGTGGGATTTTGCTTGCACAGGTCTAGTATTATAACTATGTGCGTTAAATACAGGGTGATAAATACTGTTTTTGTCCATGTAACCTACAGTTTCATTTATCTTTAGTTGATGAATGGTGACATAATTTTTACCAAATGCTTCTCCATGCTGGAAGATACGATAAACTTGAAAGACAGAAAATTGAAGCTTAAATTTTGGGGGAATGGAAGGGTGTTTTGTCGTAACCATGCGTGTTTCTTTGAGAAGAAAGACAAAGGGGGAAAGCAAGCCCTCTGGCACTCTTCAGCTCTCCCAATTTTTGTTCTATTTTTTGACTTAAATCTTTTTGAAATTTGTGAATTTTCAGTAAGAAATCAAGAGATCTGAAAATTAAGCATTGTATGAGGGTTTTGTCTACGTGAGCTTAAGCACGTTAACCAGAACAAGAAATTCAAGGTGAAGTGTCCAGGGTCTATGAAAGTTAAACAAATAATCTCAACCAAATTGAAATTTGTGTCCTATATGTGCTTAGCATAAATGTAACCATGTGAAAGACAAGGCCTTACATTTTCCTCATCTTCTATTTAACTATATGATTAAAAGAAGGAACAGAAAACTACTTTTAGTATGGATAAAACTCAAAAACTGTTGGAAGGTTTTATAGTGCCCTGTTTAAAAAAAAAAAAAGAAAAAAAAAGAGAGAATGGACTCCTGCTTCTTATGGAAAAGATCTCAGTGTTGATCTTTCCTTTCTCGCTAGCTTCAGAAGCTTTGCTTTGGATATACCCCTGAATTTCACAGTTCCTGCTCCCTGACCTCTCTGAACTTTAGCCAGGATAATTATTAGGGTTCCTTGACTATGGAAATACACAGCCAACATTGTCAGGATGTCACCTAGAAGCCCCATATTGTGCTTAGAAACATCACATAATATGATCCTAGTAATGATACATTACATACTTGTTATATACAGTGCAAGGGGAGAGGGATTACTGAATTGAAAGGAAGAAGACAATCTCAGATAGTGCAACCACCAAAAAAGTAATTGACGTTAGACAATACATATGTTGCAAAGTATCTGTTAAGTCTCATTTCCCTGTGATCTTTAAAAGTTTCTGAGATAGCCAGTTCTCCCACTGAAATAACTACTTATTAGAGATACAGAATATGCAAATGCTTTTCCCAAGTCTTAGAATACACTTTGAGCAGTGTTCATGGGACCACCTGCAATCAGCCTGCTTTATCCATCTATGACTTGAATTCTGGGTTAAGTGCTCAGTTATGATATATATCGAAAGCTGTTGTTCTCATTTTGAAAATGGCATTGAGGAATCTCTTGTGTTCACAAAAGTTCTTAGAAAACAGCTAGATGTTTAGAGGAAATCTCAAGAGTCTTCAGTTGTGAAAACAGCTAGAGAAAAAGAGGTTAAGATCAGATAGAGGTGAATTCTTTTAAACTTCATCAAGGTTCTGTCACCTTTACATGTGTATGTATGTATTTAAATATACACACAGACACACTGTTTATAGTCAGACAGTTGCCTACACAACATTTGCCACAAAAGACCTGTTAAAATTATAATGTGAGGTTTACACCAAAATAAAGCCTCTCAGGCATACATGCTGTAGCTCTTGAGAAGAGCCTGTCATAGGAATACATCAAAATAGGATATCTAAGCAGCACTGCTACAGTTACATGTCCTTGCTGCAGCACTGTAATCATCATGATCAGGCCAGGCAAGGTTTAAGAACAGGCATATTTTATTTGGAAAGAGCTTTCAGACACTTGAGTTCTTTTTGTAATTAAACAAAGCATAAGCTTCACCTATACACTTTGCCTTGAAACAGGTCTTAATTATGGAGGTAGAGGGTCAAGTGTTTGACATTTTGGAAAGGTCTCAGGGTTATTACAGGGACCCAGAGCTTCTCTCTGTGAAGCCCTATTCAAGACAATATCAGGTCTGCAGTGTCAGAGATATGAGCTCTAATTTGCATTACAAATTCAGTCGCATTCACCGGCTTTTAAATAGAAATCTTAAATTAACAAAGACACTTTTCTAACTTAGTCTTGAGGGAAATCACTGAAAATGCTATTAAAGTCTCACTTTGGTCAAACAGGAAGCCAAAACTGCAATCTGAGTTTTGAGGAAAAGCCAGCCTAAAGCTCAGCTGAACAGTGTAATAAAAGGTGATGTATGATTATGTGTATGTTCTCCCCCTTAATGCTTTACAGATCAGAGCTGCTGAGTTATAAGAACACTGAGATGGCAATAGTAAGTGCTCAAAAATTAGGAAGTAACATTAAAAAGCATTGAATGACCTTGGTGTGGTACCCCTTGGTGTGATATCCCTTTTGGCTTGCACTGCTGTTGATGGCCTGATTGCATGTTGCATACAATTTTTCCCACAAGGGCTCTGTCGAGTTCTATATAGAAACACAGACTTTACTACAACCCTCTGGTATCGTCCTTTCCTCATTCTCCTTTCCTTGGTTTTTCTTCTCTTTACAGATTTCTCTTTCTTTTCGATCTGTGGCAACTCCATATTCCCTTCGACTTTACCCTGCCATTCCGCATGTCCATCACACCCTTGGTCCTCACCCTTTCTGTAATTTTTACCTTTACTGTCTTAGCAATGTTTGCTGCAGGCTTGTCCTCACTGTTCTCTCGAGTTTGTGCTCTCCTTTGGCAATATTATTAATTTTTCTCCCTTTACGTGTCTGCATTCATTTAGATAGCTTCTTTTACATTTATATAACCGAGGGAATACCTATGAATGTATGAGAATGTAGGAGGCACATGGACATAGTGAGTCAGTCTATAAATACAGAATAGTAAGTCTGCTGCTAACCCTAAGAGCAACCAGTATGATATAGATATATGTGTGTGTATATATATATGTGCGTATATATATGTATACAAAGAAACCCACAAATGGGTAGGATTATCTGCAACAAACTTTTGTAAAGGTTTTAGTAGGCCTAAACATGCCATATAAATTATATATTAAATGAAGTAGGACTTTTAGCCTAAGTAGCCCAGAGAGAGATATCAAAGGAAGCCTAATCAAAGGAAATGGCTATAATAAAAATTCTAATAGAAGCAGTGAACTCTTCACCTTAGATGATGGGAATTTACTCCTGAGCAACAAAGTTGGAATAAAGTTGACTTTAGTTCCATCACCCAGGAAGACTAGACGTGTTTCTGTTAGCGAGTGCTCACGTGAATGAATAAGGGCTCCAAGACAGTTACTCCTCGGCACTGGGATCTCATTCGTGCAGAGCTCCCCAGCTGCCCATGCAATGAGATTGCTGCCTTTACTTATGTATTTATTTATTTGCCATTTAATAGCTGAAGGTATTTGTGTTTCCAAAAGGCTTTTCCCGGCGTTTTCCAAAACCCGGGGGTGCTCCAGCCGCCTCCCGGCGGGAGGCGGGGGCCGGCAGGGAGCCAGGCGCGCTCCTCCGGGCTGGGACGCGGCCAGCGCGGGCTGCGCGGGC